AACACCAATAAAAACAACAAAACTTAACATTAGTAAGAAGAAAATTAATTTTTGACAATTAACATAAAACATTATACCATGAATTCTTTACTATTCCACTTCTTGTCAATTAGAGATGTCCATTGATTAAGAGTAACACTTGTAGGTGGGTGGCTTCTCGCGTACTCCTCCCCTCTTGCATCCTTAAGTTGCTTGTATTGTTTGTGCAACCTATAGGTGAAGCTACTCAATCGCCGACCAAACTGTGTGTTTAAAGTCCTTGCTACATCACTCGGATTGCCTTGTAGATCAAACTGATCCTACAAAATCAAATCATTTTTTTTATAAGTTAAATAACCTAAATTTCAGACAAGCAGCAATGAGCCTGACTAAACAACAAAGAAAAAAAGATTGCATCAACAGATGTGTTAACAGTTGCAATTTAATTCCTAGATATGCAGGCATTATATATTGTAACAGTTGCAACAGATGTGTTAACAGAGGAATATGATGTCCATGTTTTTCTAGCAGCAAGTTCTTGTAATCACCCTAACAAAGAGAGTATTTCTTTCACACAATAATTACCATGTAATTTCAATTTCAATTTCAATTTCAATTTTCATGTGTCATGCCTCTTTTACTTGACAATAATTACCTCCAAGCGTTGGATCATCGGCTTCTTATCAGCATCGTGAACCTTATTCCACCTACAAATGCTCAAGTCTGGTAATTGCGTTCGAACCTCTATGCCAATCTTGGAGGCCAACTTAGAGGCTTGATCTCCCACTGGCGCACGGAAATGTTCAGGTACAGGAACCAACATCTTTCCATTTTTCTGGACAATGCGTTGGGTTTGTATGCCGCGTGTTGGACCACGACCACGTCTGTCATGTGATGCTGTAAGGACATAATGTTAATTGAGTTAATAAGTAAACAAATGCAAGTTAGACCTTAAATTAAATATAAACAACTTTGCAAACTTACCAACACTACTAGATGCAGTCACCTCATGCACAGGTTGCACATTATGAGGTGGTAAGGGTTGGGTACCAATCTCTTGACGTGGGGGATCCATCCCTTCTTCTGGGGTGGGAGTTAATGGCCTCGAATAAGGCTGTAAACGTAACCCCGGTGGCATCTCTTGTTCCTGAAATAACATAATCGAATAGTAAAGAAGATATTTAACACAGTTAAAATATATTTTAAAAAAGATATGATGTTTAAGATATATGAAGAAGATATTTAAATAGTAAATGATATGTTCACACACAAATATAAAATAATGTATATAATACCTTGCGATAAAAGGAACCCAATGACTCGTTATCACTATCGTTCTCACTCCCTGACGGATTATACTCATCATCATCATCTACCTCAACCCTAATTCCCTTTTCCTTTGCATTTGCACATTTGGGCTGAACCACACTCATCAAAGAATTTGTAATATTCTTCACTCCAAGATTGTTCATTACCTCATAGTTCTTCTTGATTCGCTTATTTCTTTGTTTCTCATATTCTGTTAGCTTCTTAGTTCTCAAATCACCTGGTTTCAGCCATTGTCTTTTTCCTCCGACCATTTTCTACAACTATATAACATAATTCATTTCTCCACAACCTGTAGCATTCAATTTCCAACCATATACAAAACTTAACTATTAACTGTACATATCAAAGAAAATAAGAATCCATAAACATAGTATAATCCAACAAATACGTATACTATCTAAACCAACAATTAAAATCCAAATTAAACAAAATCTTACTAATAAAACATATCAGGTGTACATGTTTTCCATAAACAAAAATATAATGTAAATTACGCCCGTACAAACATCATCAATCTGTCCCAAAAACATCACTGTATCCATGCCAACATCATCAATCTGTAACAAAAAAATAATATCCATTAACATTTTATTGAATAACATTCGCATTTACAATTATATAATAAATAAATAAATAAATTAGATACAACTTGAAAGTTATTATTTTCATGGAATCAATTACAAAATCATTTTATTTTTTAAGTAATTAGAAACTAAACAAAAACAGAAACAATGGTGATTAGGCTCATATGGAGTCAAGCTTTTAGGGGTAGCAATTTGCAATATCTCAGCAAGAATGTTATAAGAAATCCATTGGAAGGAGTCCTATGGATGTCCAAGGTGAAATTTTGGGAGGAAGCCCATGTTAGCAAGGAAGTCACATTGGTAGTCTTTTTATCAGAGAGCCCCATTGGTGCCAACCCAGCGGTGGGGCAGGATGTAATTTTTGAAACCTCAAAGGGTAATATGTAATTTAGCTAAACTTCAAGTGGGGTGTATGTAATTTGCCCATCAAAATAAACAAGTTTTCAAGTCCTAATATGACCATGAAAAAAAAAGAGAAGGAATGTTCCCAAGATTTTCTTTTCCCAATTTTTTTATTATCCAATTGTTCTATTAAGGAGATCTACACCATCTCTACTTTTTGTATTTGCTTTATTATAGCTGAAATTTCATATTTGTCACGAGGAAGCTGTCCGTGACAACCACACGATGACTCGGGGCTGTTTTAGATTTTCGCCCCCGGAACGCCATTTTTCAATTAAGTTTAAGGCGTTTTCAACTCTAACTCCTAATCTACGGGTCCAAATTACATTCCGTCTATTGTCACAGGTCATATTTGTCATGGGGAAGCTGTCCCTGACAGCCACATGGTGGTTCGAGGACTGTTTTGAATTTTCGCCCCTGAAACGCCATTTTTTGACTAAGTTTAAAGCGTTTTTGGCTCTTAACTCCTAACCTACGCGTGCTATTTACATTCCGTCTGTTGTCACAGGTCATATTTGTCAAGGGGAAGCTGTCTGTGACAGCCACACGGTGGCTCGGGGGCTGTTTTGAATTTTCGCCCCAGGAAAGCCATTTTTAGACTAAGTATAAAGCGTTTTCGGCTCTAACTCCCAACCTAAGCGTGCTATTTACATTCCGTTTGTTGTCACAGGTCGTATTTGTCACGGGGAAGCTGTCTGTGACAGCCACACGGTGGTTTCGGGACTTTTAAATTTTTGTCCCCGAAACGCCATTTTTCGACTAAGTTTAAGGCGCTTTCAGCTCTAACTCCAAACCTATATGTGCTATTTACATTCCGCTTCTTGTCACGTCGTATTTGTCATGGGGAAGCTGTCTGTGACAGCCACACGATGGTTCAGGGGCTGTTTTGAATTTTTGCCCCCGGAACATCATTTTTCGACTAAGTTTAAGGCATTTTCGGCTCTAACTACCAACCTGCACGTGCTATTTACATTCTGTCTTTTGTCACAGGTCGTCTTTGTCATGGGGAAGCTGTCCGTGACAGCCACAGTGGTTCGGGGGGGCTGTTTTGAATTTTTGCCCCCGGAACACCATTTTTCGACCAAGTTTAAGGCATTTTCGGCTCTAACTCCCAACCTACGCGCGTTATTTACATCCTGTCTATTGTCACAGGTCGTATTTGTCATGGGAAAGCTGTCCGTGACAGCCATACAGTGTGTCGGGGGCTGTTTTGAATTTTCTCCCTCTGAACGCCGTTTTTTTACTAAGTTTAAGGCGTTTTCGGCTCTAACTCCCAACATACGCGTGCTATTTACATCCCGTCTGTTGTCACAGGTCGTATTTGTCATGGGGAAGCAATCTGTGACAGCCATTTCGTCTTTTTTTACATAATTAATTAATTAGTTAACGAATTAATGTGTTATTTCGTTTCTCCTCTTATTTGTATAATGTCAAAACAATTCCAAGTTCTCCAAAACAATAATGTCAATATGTGAAGTATTTTTGTAGAACTTTTAGTATCATATAAATAAAATTCTTCTTACCAAATAGGGCAATTGCCATCTGAACCCTGCAATAGCGTTGTGAGTCGTAAAACCACGTAGAGGACAAAGGTGAGAAACTACCATTTAATACTACAAAAATAAAAATAAAAAAGAGTATGCCTAGTTTAGTCCCCATTGGATGTGGGTAGAGAGGTAGATTGAGTACAGACCCAACCTTTGGCATTATTTGTACAAAATGGCTACTTTTACAGAGATACTATGTTACAATATGTCAACACCACAATTCTGAACAATGAATTCATGAAGCATGTAATTCACTAGAATCAAATTTGTAACCTAGAAAATTGCTAGAAAACTAGGTGAAGTTGTTTGGGTCTACTTTAACATGATTTTCTCTTCCACAACCAAACTAACAAGCATTAGCTATAGGAAAACAGACCACCACACAAAGACACACACACCCAAATAAGGCAGGTAGTAAAAGCAACCTTGCATGGTAGTTAGTGCAGGAAAAATATTTCTGAGAAATAAAAAGAAAGAAGCCACTCTTATTGTAGATATAGCATTAAAACCAAATACCTTAAACCACTGTGTGTGTCTTTGCCTCAAAAAACCCAATTCACTTGCTGCCACAGAAGAGGAGGGTCTCTTGTCTTGGACCAATCTTCTACTTTGCAAGAATCTACTTCTCAATAATGACTTCAAAACAAGTACAACATAAAGCAGTCAAAAAGATTTCAATGCTTCATGGGCATAAATCCCAAACTTGTTAACATCATGGCTAAATGCCAAGCATGGAGACAAAGCATAAAACAGATATATATATGTGTGTATGTGTGTGTGTGTGTATGAATATTTTAATATAAAAAAGAAAAGACATAACTTGAATCATCTCGACAAGTAAACACGCATGATACACAACTTTCTCATAACATGCATTGAATAATAATTGTGATCTTTACACAGTATTCCTGTAGAATACAAAAAAGAAAAACTGATGAAACAATTTAAGAGAATAATTTGAAACATTCGAAGTCAAACTTAAATATATGAGGTATGAAACAGATCCAGCAATCACTACATACCAGAATGTTAGCACCAATACTAGTTCCAACAGCAAATAGAGGAGCCTTGGCATATTCATGATGAAGATAATGAATAACTTCACTTTTATGAATCCAACAAGTTAAAGTAGAGTTTTTCCCCTTTAAAATAATCCCACAAGATGTATAAATAGGTCCCTTACTAATCCTAGTTTAATCCTTAAAGTAAACCTTCAATCCAAATTCAACAAAAAGTAAGACAAACAATCCCAACCATACAAAAAAATTCAGATTATTTAATATGAGATTATATAGGTGTAGGAGTGATTGACACAAAGTTTAAAATAACTAAAGCCTAAATGGGTGTCGAAACATGGAATTAGGAAATGGTACAAAAGATTGTATAGCAAAAACAAGTAATGTCAGCACAAACCTAAAGCAAAATCACCAGCCTAAATACTTTACCCCAGGCCTGCTAACCAATCCCCCTAATGCAAACTTTGACTTTTTGCAAGTTGAAAATAATATCATTAATTGAAAAATCCAAGGAGGGGCAAGATACTTTGATCCACATTGCAATCCTTAATTTAATAGTCTCACACAGCTCCCCAATTTACCAACAATTCCATTTTAAATTAATGAGCTCGTCAAAACAACTCAAGAGGAGCACAAGGACATTGCAGAAACAGAGTGCAACCAGTGTAATTTTTCAAAACAAAGTTGTGATTGACTTTTGGCAAAGGATTGAATTTGAATTGGTATTTATCTTTCTTGTGAAGAACTGGATTAAAAGATTATAACATGGTTCAATAATTCAAAGTCCTGTAATCACATTATTCTTTAGCAAAGCAGAATAACCTTGGTACAGCAGCAAGTAATATTAAAAAATGAAAACCAGGTTAACTGAATATTTCTGTTTGCATAATCTACGGGTCCGAATTACATTCCGTCTATTGTCACAGGTCGTATTTGTCATGGGAAAGCTGTCCATGACAACCACATGGTGGTTTGGGGCTGTTTTGAATTTTTGCCCCCAGAACTCCATTTTTCGACTAAGTTTAAGACGTTTTCGGCTCTAACTCCCAACCTACGCGCGTTATTTACATCCTGTCTATTGTCACAGGTCGTATTTGTCATGGGGAAGCAATCTATGACAGCCATTTCGTCTTTTTTTACATAATTAATTAATTAGTTAACGAATTAATGTGTTATTTCGTTTCTCCTCTTATTTGTATAATGTCAAAACAATTCCAAGTTCTCCAAAACAATAATGTCAATATGTGAAGTATTTTTGTAGAACTTTTAGTATCATATAAATAAAATTCTTCTTACCAAATAGGGCAATTGCCATCTGAACCCTGCAATAGAGTTGTGAGTCGTAAAACCACGTAGAGGACAAAGGTGAGAAACTACCATTTAATACTACAAAAATAAAAATAAAAAAGAGTATGCCTAGTTTAGTCCCCATTGGATGTGGGTAGAGAGGTAGATTGAGTACAGACCCAACCTTTGGCATTATTTGTACAAAATGGCTACTTTCACAGAGATACTATGTTACAATATGTCAACACCACAATTCTGAACAATGAATTCATGAAGCATGTAATTCACTAGAATCAAATTTGTAACCTAGAAAATTGCTAGAAAACTTGGTGAAGTTGTTTGGGTCTACTTTAACATGATTTTCTCTTCCACAACCAAAATAACAAGCATTAGCTATAGGGAAACAGACCACCACACAGAGACACACACACACCCAAATAAGGCAGGTAGTAAAAGCAACCTTGCATGGTAGTTAGTGCAGGAAAAATATTTCTGAGAAATAAAAAGAAAGAAGCCACTCTTATTGTAGATATAGCATTAAAACCAAATACCTTAAACCACTGTGTGTGTCTTTGCCTCAAAAAACCCAATTCACTTGCTGCCACAGAAGAGGAGGGTCTCTTGTCTTGGACCAATCTTCTACTTTGCAAGAATCTACTTCTCAATAATGACTTCAAAACAAGTACAACATAAAGCAGTCAAAAAGATTTCAATGCTTCATGGGCATAAATCCCAAACTTGTTAACATCATGGCTAAATGCCAAGCATGGAAACAAAGCATAAAACAGATATATATATGTGTGTATGTGTGTGTGTGTGTATGAATATTTTAATATAAAAAAGAAAAGACATAACTTGAATCATCTCGACAAGTAAACACGCATGATACACAACTTTCTCATAACATGCATTGAATAATAATTGTGATCTTTACACAGTATTCCTGTAGAATACAAAAAAGAAAAACTGATGAAACAATTTAAGAGAATAATTTGAAACATTCGAAGTCAAACTTAAATATATGAGGTATGAAACAGATCCAGCAATCACTACATACCAGAATGTTAGCACCAATACTAGTTCCAACAGCAAATAGAGGAGCCTTGGCATATTCATGATGAAGATAATGAATAACTTCACTTTTATGAATCCAACAAGTTAAAGTAGAGTTTTTCCCCTTTAAAATAATCCCACAAGATGTATAAATAGGTCCCTTACTAATCCTAGTTTAATCCTTAAAGTAAACCTTCAATCCAAATTCAACAAAAAGTAAGACAAACAATCCCAACCATACAAAAAAATTCAGATTATTTAATATGAGATTATATAGGTGTAGGAGTGATTGACACAAAGTTTAAAATAACTAAAGCCTAAATGGGTATCGAAACATGGAATTAGGAAATGGTACAAAAGATTGTATAGCAAAAACAAGTAATGTCAGCACAAACCTAAAGCAAAATCACCAGCCTAAATACTTTACCCCAGGCCTGCTAACCAATCCCCCTAATGCAAACTTTGACTTTTTGCAAGTTGAAAATAATATCATTAATTGAAAAATCCAAGGAGGGGCAAGATACTTTGATCCACATTGCAATCCTTAATTTAATAGTCTCACACAGCTCCCCAATTTACCAACAATTCCATTTTAAATTAATGAGCTCGTCAAAACAACTCAAGAGGAGCACAAGGACATTGCAGAAACAGAGTGCAACCAGTGTAATTTTTCAAAACAAAGTTGTGATTGACTTTTGGCAAAGGATTGAATTTGAATTGGTTTTTATCTTTCTTGTGAAGAACTGGATTAAAAGATTATAACATGGTTCAATAATTCAAAGTCCTGTAATCACATTATTCTTTAGCAAAGCAGAATAACCTTGGTACAGCAGCAAGTAATATTAAAAAATGAAAACCAGGTTAACTGAATATTTCTGTTTGCACTAAATTCTCTGAATTCAAGACAACATAGTTTTCTTCTGTTAATAGTAGACAACCAACAACACTTGATACATTATATTGATCTCAACTCTTAAAGGCCTCAAAACCATAGACTTACTGCGTAACTTTTTTCATCACTATAGTGGGAGTTGTAGATAAATAAAAATCACCAAAACAAACCGATGCAAACTTAGCAAAGACCATAATATCATTATCAGATATGTAATTCATATGTGATTTAATGGAGCATGTCTAATCATGATATTATCAAATAGAAGAGGGAACAAAACAAATTTTTTTGGAGGAAATCAATTTCTACCTGCTGGTATTGCTCATCCGAACCTTCCACTTGGACCGGCACCATGGAGCCATGCACGGGCATCTGAAAAGAGGCATAATTTCCACATCTACGAATCAAATTCACCAAAACACACAGAAAAGAAAAAAATAAATAAATAAAAAAAATCCACAAAATCAAAAACTTGTGATGAAGTATGCATACAAGTAACATTCGGATCGGAATCGATTGGATGATTGGAATTGGAAAGCCATTGCTTCGCATGCTCAACGCAGGGGATGTATAATGAATCCATCGATCCAAACTCTATGGCCTTAATCCAAACCCTAGGAGCAGATTAAGATTGTAAAATAAGAAGAAAAGAAGGAAGAGAAGAAACAAAGAGAGAGGGGCTTTCGAGAGAGAGTTCTTCAATGGCGAATCAAGATCTGCAACTCTAAGGAGGAATTATCTGGGAGAGAGAGAGAGAGAGAGAGAGTACCTTCGTGATGTTCAGATATATAGACGGGTTGGATGGATAATACAATTTTGTGGATGGATCAGTCAAAATCAAAACTTAAATACGATAGATACATAACTATACGAATCGAAATCAGTCAAAACTTTAATTGGTAAAGAAAGCAAGCACAATGTCGAAGAAATCTACAAAAAATTGAACGAAGATTACGATATATATATATATATACATAACTATGTCTACATGTATCGAAATCAGTCAAAAACTTCAGTCGGAAAAGGACTGAATAACCTGAATGTCGATGGGAGGCGAGGCAATGGTGAGTTGTGGTGGCTATGTTCGACGGTGGAAGATTGACGGACACGGTGGTCGTGTGTGATGCTGAGATGAGGGCGGGGTGATTGATTCTGTGTGTGTGTGAGAGAGAGAGAGAGAGAGGGAGAGCAAGAGAGAAAGAACAGTGTGAAGACTAAGATAGCATTTGGTAGAATTTTTTAAATATGATTTGAGAATAGAGTCGTATTTTAAGTTTGTGAGTTTTGGAATTATGATTTGAGTGTGAAAAATTTGTTTGGTGAATGAGTTTTGAAAAGAGTATTAAATTGAGTGAGAATTTTTGATGTGACATATAATATCTAATACAAAAACTTACAACTCATAACCAAACACACAACTCAAAAATCTATTAAAAGCTCATAAAAAATTTTAAAAAAATCCGAAAATATTGTTTTATTAAACATAAAAAAAAAGGTGCCAATTGCAAAAAATAAATAATAAATAAATAAATTTGCCATGTTCCGGTTGACCGGCCAGTCAACCGGTCGGACGACTGGTTAAGCCAAATTAAAAAAAAAATTAATTGAAAATCCCGCCTGACACAGAGTTTTTTGTTTGTTGTGGAAGTATAATTTGAAAACCCTTATCCAAACATGGTATTAGAATGTGTGGGTAAAATTATAGTTTGAAAACCCTTCTGAACACAACCTAAATTTCCCACTAAAATTTTGAACACATTTGCCGACTAAATTTTAGTCACTGAACATAGATTTTTGGTGACTAAATTTTTAACAGCCAAAGATAAAAATTAATTTTTTAATTTTCATTCGGCGACTAAATAATTTTAAGTCAAAACCAACTATTTAGCGAGTAAAATTTTATTTAGTCGCTAAAAATAGATTTTTGCGACTAAATTTTTAGTTGCCAAAGATAAAAATTAATTTTTTATTTTTCATTCGGTGACTAAATAATTTTAGTAGTCAAAACTAACTATTTGGCGACAAATTTGCTTAGTCGCTGAAAATAGATTTTTGGCAACTAAATTTTTAGTCACCAAAGATAAAATGTAATTTTTTATTTTTGGAATTTTTAAAAATATTTAAGAGGCGCAACGTACAATAAAGGGAGATGGACTAGTTACTGTTTGGAATTTTTAAAAATAATTTTGAGTTTTCAATTTGTATTTTTATATTTTTAGTAATTTTTAAAAATATTTTAATCAATTTTTTAAAACTTTTTAGATCCATTTAATCTTGATATATTAAAAAGTATAAAATTTATACAAAAATCTTAAAAAAATTATTGAATACAATAAAATACAAAAATTTATTAAAATGTATTAAAAGAGGGCATCAAGATGATAAAGAGTTTTTTTTTAGTAGGATAAGAGTTGTTAAAAAAATAAAATTAAATAAATAAATAAATTATTTATAAGATAAGGGAAAATATTTATATATACAATAATGCTATATGTAAACTATAAAAGTGTACAAATAAACTCCTTAATTATAAAAATGTATCAATTGAACCCTCTAATAGAAGGGGTCAAAGTGAAACATATCAATAGTTTAGGGGATTTATTATATATTTTTATAGTTTAGGGGCAAAGTAATAGTTCTCAATTATTTAAGAGGTCTATTTATATGTTTGTATAATTTAAGGAATCAAAATAATATATATATATATATGTAGTCAATAATCAGCCACGCTTGGAAGTGTTGATTTCAGTGGAAAAGTTAAAAAAAAAGTATTAGAAAGTTCAAAAAATTCAACTCAAGTCAAATTTTTTTTCCGTTCACTCTATTTTATACAATTTTTTTAGTAAAAAGTTAAAAAAGTCATTTTCAAACTTATTTATGTTTTCGATAATGTTACGCATACATAGGACCAAGCACAAAACCAAATACAGAAATTGTTCATCTGAATGACCGGCTAGATGACCAAGCACTCGACCAGATGACAACATGATAACCTCGGACGACAAGACGATAGTCGCGGTCAATAAGATGACAACTATGATTGACAAGATAATAGTTGTGGTCAACAACCTTGTCATCCGGTCAGCTATTTGGTCGGTCGTTTGGATGAACAGTTTATGTGTATGGTTCTGTATTTGGTTTTTTGTGTGCAGATCATTATTGTTTTTTTTTTTTTACCTCATATTTTAGTCAAAAAGTTACTAAAAAAATCGTTTCCCAAATGGGCCTTATATAAGCATGACTCTTCTAAAGGTTTAATCCTAAGGAGACATCATAAGTTCAATTCTCCCTAAAGGGAATTAAATTAGGAGAAAAACACAAGAATGGGGAGGCGAACTCTTATAAATGTCAATCTACCTAATAAAATTATCTTACGATAGAAACTCCTATATAAAAGAAAACAAGTGAAACAAAATAAAGAATAAATTATACTAACCTTTTTGAGATTAAAAAAAAATCTACAAATTTAACATAATTATATTGAGGGCTTTTTTAATAAGTTAAACCAAATAAAATTAATACAGAAAATATAAGGACACAAGGATAAGCAATGATAAAGTATACAATTAGTCGCCAAAGATAAAAATTAAATTTTATTTTTCATTAGGCGACTTAAATCATTTTAGTAGCCAAAACTAACTATTTGGCGACTAACATTTTTTTTAGTCGTTGAAAATAGATTTTTGGTGACTAAATTTTTAGTCGCCAAAGAGAAAAAGTAATTTTTTATTTTTTAATCAGCAACTAAATAATTTTAGTAGCTAAAACTAAATATTTGGCGACTAAAAATTTTTTTAGTTGCCAATTGTGTCATTTTTAGTGACTAATTTTTTTTTAGTCGTTAATAATCAATACATCCCGACTAAAAAACGAGTAGCTAAATATTATACTTTTGTGATTAAAAAAGTTTTTGGTCATAGGAATGGCAACGGGGCGGGGCGGGGCCGGGGATCACCCTCCCCGTCCCCGATCCCCGAAGACCAAAAAATCCCCGTCCCCGCCCCCGATCCCCGACGGGGACACCATCAACCCCCCCGCCCCCGCTCTCTAACGAGGATCGGGTTTCCCCAACCCCGAAAAATCCCCGACCTGTTTTTGTTTTTGTTTTTTTTTTTTTAATTTTGTTCAACACAGAAACACAACAAATTTTTTTTTTTAAAATCTGTTTCTTCATGATCATCAACAATCATCATCAACTTAAAATAAAAAACTTCAAAAAAAAATAATCTGAAACACAAACACACACACAAACATATCTATCATCATCTTCATCATCAACTTGAAAAATAAATAAATAAATAAACAGATCTGAGTGATAATGAACTGGTGATCAACAACTTGAAAAAAAAAAACAAAAAACAAATCTGAGTGATGAAGTGGTGCTGCGACGGAGGAGGGAGTGCTTAAGCCGTATGCCGTCGTCTAGGTCAAACACCGAAGCTGCGACGGAGGCCGGATAGAAGTGGTGCTGCGACGGAGGAGGGAGTGATGTCGAAATCTGCGGCGGAGGACAGGCAGAGGCTGTGTTGTTCAGATCTGCGGCAGAGGATGTGGTGGTGGAGGATTGACGGACTGAGGCCGAACAGAGCCGCCGTGGCCATTCTTAGGGCTGTGGTTACGGGGGTTCTGCGAGAAGAGAGAGGAGCCGCCGTGAGTGAGGGAGAGAGAGACGATGGCGATGTGAATGTGATCCGTGGAGGAGGAGAGATGTGAGGAATGAAGAGAGAGAGAGAGTAGATCTACTTTATGAGAGAGAGAGTAGATGGAGATGAAATCAAAAAAAGTCTAAATGAATAAATATATATATCTAAATGAATAAAAGATAGGGATGACCGGGGATATATAATATATATATAATATATATATCATTCGGGGGGACCAACGGGGCGGGGCTCGGGGCCGGGGCGGGCCGGGACTGAAACATGTGTCCCCGTCCCCGGCCCGAATATCATCGAGGATTTTTTTTTTTTCACCATCCCCGGCCCGTCAGGGGTATTTTTCGAGGAATAACCATTATATTCGGGATCGGGGGATCCTGTCCCCATCGGGCCGGTTTCAGATTGCCATCCCTAAACCCCACATCTTTCTCCCTTTTATTTATCAGCTTATGATGGTTAGATTAGGACATGTTTCAATTAGCATATTTATGCTCGCATGTTTGCATCATTCATCTGTATTGCATGCACCGGGCTCAG